ATATCAGACAAGCCTAACACGCCGTCGTTAGAGTTACATACAGTTCTGTAGAGACTGTATATGAAAGATGGATGTACTCCATAAGCCCCCAACCACTGGTTTGAGGACTCAAGTTCAGCACTTAGGCTGGAGCATGAAGTGACCACATTTGGATGACAGAGTGAAGCGCTAACATGGCCATCATGCTCGCCGTTTCCTAACGGGGAAAAAAAAAAGTCGCCGTACTGTGCTTTGGTGTCGTTATAACCCGACCCCTGAAGATGTGCTGTGGTATCCAGCACCAAGATGTCAGCAACAGATCCTTTAAGTTCTCCAAGTTCCACGGTGGGGCTTCCATGGATCCTATTTGCTAGTCCAGCGCATCCTACAGATGCTTAACTGAATCTGGAATTTGGAGGCCAAGTAAACACCTCCCCTTTTTGTTTTAGTGGCAGAATGCATTAGCCTGTTGAAAGAGGCCACAGCTATCAGAGAGTACCGTTTCCATGAAAAGGTGTACATGGTCTGCAACAATGCTTAGATAGGTGGTGCATGTCAACATAACATCCACATGGATGGCAGGACCAAATGTTTCCCAGCAGAGCATTGCCCAAATGATCACCCTGCCTCTGTTGGCTCGCCTGCTTTCCATAGTGCATCCTGATACTAGGTGTTCTCTGCAGCCATGCAGCCCCATATGCAACGAACTGTGAGGTCTCTGTGTTCTGACACCTTTCTATCAGGACAAGCATCAACTTTTTTGGCAATTTGAGCTACAGCAGCTCGTCTGTTGGATCAGACTTTGCTCCCCATTTGCATCGCTGAGCCTTGACCACTCATGGCACTATCACTGGTTCACCATTGTTCCTTCCTTGAGCCACTTTTTATAGGTACTGCAGACCGGGAATACTCGACAACAGCTGCAGCTTGGGCTCTGATATATCCCCAAGCCACAATTTGGCTCTTGTCAAACATGCTCAAATCTTTACGCTTGTCCATTTTTCCTACTTCTAACATCCTCTTTCAGGATGAAATGTTGATGTGCTCCCTAATAAA